GCTTGCAACTCTCAAATCTTCAAAGTTCAAGTCAAAATTACTTCACGACTGGAGTTTTTCCGCCAATCAGTTCGTCTTTGCTCCAGCCCCTTGAGGCCCACGATCAGAGATTCTTTCCAACTGAACTCTTGCGGTAATAGTCCTTATGTAACAACCTCTCTGACGAGAAAATAGGTTTGTCTTTTATGAATACACTTGGCCTTTCTTCAAGTGTATATTTCGCACATATAACATGTTACTGAAAATTCCTTTTGCACTACACGCAAGTCCTCTGTCAGTGCAGGCTTTACAGAGCAGATCATGCCTACCTTACGTATCTTACGCTACAACGGCAGCTTTGTCATTTGAACCCCTCAAATCAAGTCTTCCTCCAGTTGTTCTCCTTATCACAGCACGGACCACGTGGAAAACACCGTTTCCAACAGTTTCTCTATTGTTGTGCTGGACTAGTTGCCGTGGGAACCTGTTTGTGAAGGCGTTACTCAGTAACGGCTGAGTATTTGCTTATTAAGAATCTGTCGCCCAGCAGCGGATGTTGTTTCGTTGTTTGTTTCGTGGTCGCGACCTAGTAACGAGTCTACACGCTACAATACTTTTCTATCTAATGGAGTTGTGTTTCTAACAAAACAAGAGACAATAGAAACGACGAACAATTTAACAACGCCACTTCGTTACCGGGCCGATTGGGGTAAGGGTAACGCCGCTTGACCTGTAATTAGCACGTGTTTGGTTTTAATCTCTGCCGAGACACCGGCTACCCTCAATAATGTTTTCGTGGTTTTCCTCAGTTCAATCAAACAATTTCCGAGATAAAATCTCGACTTGGCCAAGACCAGTTCCTTCCAAATCCTTTCCAGCTGATAAGTTATAATATTTTTACTTTATGCAATCTATCGTAGCTACTGATTAAAAAAATATAAAGTTGTCCCTGTGCTTAACTAATTAAGCACTATGCCATGAAGACGTATGGGGGAGTGGATGTGTGGATCCACGTTTTCTTGACCTCGGCAAAAGTTGGAAGTGTGGTCAGTTTCACTCCTCGGCCCCCGGTACCCATCGGACAGGAGGTTTGGTGGGTCCCAGAACCGATCTGGCCGACGTGATGAGAAAAATTCTTGATTCTACGAGGACTCGAACTCCGACCCCTCGGCCTTCAAGCCTGTATCCAGTCGCTATACCGACTGGACTATCGCGGCTCCTAATCTGACAACTCATAACATCGTAAAATAACAACTCATAAATGCAACGTCGTTACATCTTAAGAAACCTTTTAGCTCAAACATTTCTACTTGTTAAAGGAATGGTTGAGAACACCTGTGAGGTTCGGAGATCCAAATCAAAAGCTTACAGAGTTGGGCAAGCAGCAAAGCACATGCAACACACACGTACTTACACGCAAGCTTTCTCTCTCTCTCTCTCAGTTCTGATCAGTATGCCAGGCATTGCCTACTGTTAACTTTGAAATTACAAACGATTTTAGCTCACAGCTGTCCGAACATAGAAATGCTTGGCTTCTGCCCACGAATGCATCTCTGCTGTAGACGGTTTGTTAGCATACTCTACTTACAAGTGGTGGTCGCGCGGTCTAAGGTATGGACAGTCTTCACCCTCTCGAACACTGGGATCGTTCGAATCCCACTTGAAGCATGGATGTTTGTAAGAAGGTAGCGGCCTTAGGCAAAATTTGGCACTAACTTCGCCGACAAGCGGCGATCGCTCGGTCGGTATAGTTTGCTTGCGGACTACACGCCACGGAGTTTTCTCGGAGTTGTAAAGGCCTTAGGACGGGCTGATCCCCCGTCCAAGGAGTCCTACCGACTGTGTATAGAATTAAGAAACTGAAAAAGCGGCCAAGGTCAAAGGGCTTCAGAGCCTTAGAGGTACCCTATCTAAGCCCGGGATACCGTTGCTATCTTTCTCAACATTACAACACACAGTTGATAAAACTATAAAGAAAAGAATAATACTCGAACTAAGAATTTCGCTCATTCTATGCCACACAATGGTAACAAATCTGGGAGCCAGTATGATATCACAGTGCGACCATAGATCGCTGAACGTAGTAATAATTACACCGCTAGGTGGATCTGCACAACAAACCTCTCTATCGCCAGCTGTTTTCTTTCACTTAAACGAAAAAATCTTAATTAGGACAGCTTCTTGGGCTCTGCAGTCCTTTGTTGTACTTCGGCCCGATTTATTTTCAGTTTTCTTATCCTATATAATATACAGTCGGTCGGACTCCTTGGAAGGGGTTCAGCCCGTCGCAATGCCGCTACCTACACACAGAATAAACGCACACAGATATTCATGCCTTGGGTGGGATTCGAAACCATGATCCCATCGTTCGAGCGAGCGAAGACAGTTCATGCTTCAGAGCGCGCGGCCACTGTGATCGGCAGGGTAAAGCTATCCCTGTCACAGTTCGTGGAGGCCCATAGGGTTGTGAGACGTCGAGGTTCCCACATTTTGTAGACAATCGGCTCACAGATGGCGGTGAGGTTAAGTAAAACTATGTCTGTAACAGGCCGTGGAGGTTCATAGGCTTGTGAGACGTCGAGGTTCCCACATTTTGTAGACAATCGGCTCACAGATGGCGGTGAGGTTGCGAGCCTAACGTCCCGGCAGCCCTTTAACCCGAGGAAGATTCCTGGTACTCATTTCTGTTAGATGCTGAGTCGACCTCAGGGCCATAGTGCGACTGTAAGAACTGTGTCAATTGAAAAATCCAATGACCCCATCAAGAATCGAATCTGCGAACTTCCGGCTTGCAGCATAGTGCCTCAACCAACAAAGCTATGAACTAGTTTTACTTTCGCTCAAGTTTCTGAAATCCTGTCACCTTGCTTCACGCCTCACCCGGAGAAAGAGCCCCCCCACCCACCACGGTACTCCTGTACTGGAGGTTGGGTGGACCGCAGAGCCAGTCGGGACGACGTGGAGAAGAGAATATTCTTGACCCTACCGGGTCTCAAACTCCAACCCTCGAACGTCCAAAAAAGCGTATTACGAGTACATCTAACAAAACTGTGAGGGTTGTTTGTAAGACGTCAACGAAGATTCGATTTCAAGAACAAACGTTCCAATATAAGGAAATGAGGCAGAAAAAAAAAGGGTAAAAGAGCTGGATGAATGTAACGTTTAAAAAACAGAATATGGTGTTCAGGAAAGTTCGTAGAAAAACAAATGCGAGTGAAAAGCTGGATGGTTCACTGAGCGGCGAAGCCCTCTGTGGTCCCTTCTCCGAAAGGTCTCAGTACAAGGACGTTACTACTGACGGTGCAAAAAAAGAAAAAAAAAAGAAAAAGTAAAACTATCCCTGTAACAGGCCTTGGAGGCCCATAGGGTTGTGAGACGTTGAGACTTCCACATTTTCTCTAGCCAATCGGCTCACATGTGGCGGTGAGTTTAAGTAAAGCTATCCCTGTAACAGACCGTGGAGGTCCATAGGGTTCTGAGACATCGAGGCTGCCACATTTTCTCTAGACAATCCGCTCACAGATGGCGGTGGAGTTAAGTAAAGCTATCCCTGTAACAGGCCCTAGAGGCCCATAGGGTTGTGAGACATTGAGGCTCCCACATTTTCTCTAGACAATCGGCTCACAGATGGCGGTGATGCCGGGAACCGATCTCCGGCCGTCCAGCCCATGGCCCATCCCTATGAGCCATCCCAGCATAGTATTTGAAGCAGCAGTAGTAGTAATAGTAATAGTAATAATAATAATAATAATAATAATAATAATAATAGTAGTAGTAGTAGTAGTAGTAGTAGTAGTAGTAGTAGTAGTAGTAGTAGCAGCAGCAGCAGCAGCAGCAGAAAGTGCAAATTGCGTGTCATGAATATTTGAGGTGCTCGGTTCAAACCTCGGTCGGACCATCAGTTATCCTGACTTTCCTTGTGGTGTTCCTCAGCCCCTCAAAATGCAGGTATAGTACCTCGATTAAACCATGACCACCTCCTTCCAAATCCTCTCAAATTCAACAGTATATGTAGTATACCTACTTATACTAAAACTAAATACTCAAACAAAAAACAAACTCCGTGGCTTTAGTCCGCAAGCGAACTATACCGACCGAGCGACCGCCGCTTGTTGGCGAAGTTAGTGCCAACTTGGCCGCGCCATAGCTCAAGCGGTTAGCCTCTGGCTTCCCACCGTGGCGGCCCGGGTCCGATCCCGGGTCTGGTCAAGTGGGATTTGTGGTGGACAAAGTGGCGCTGGGGCGAGTTTTCTCAGAGGACTTCGGTTTCCCCTGCCAATCTTCATTCCACCAGATTCTCCATCATCATAATCACCCGGAGCAGGCTACAGTAGGCCAATCAGTGGCCGTCGTGCCGAGTGAACCCAGTTGGACTCCAGCACCCAGTAAGCGAATTAAAAAAAATAGTGCAAACTTTAGCGGATAGAGGGTGTCGCGTGGTCAGCGCAACGGATCTCCAAGACCGTTAATTTCCGTTTTCTAGACCGGAGCCGCTACTTTTCTTTCAAATACTTCCTCAATTATCCCCATGAGGCTGAGTGGGCCCCGTTCTAGACCCACTACTTCTTAGAAAATTGGTAGCGCCGGGAATGTAACCCGGGACTTCTGGATCTGTAGCCAGGAACTGACCACTAGACTACACAGGCGGTCTTAGCAAAATACCCACCCAGGAGTAAAGAGAAAACACATATTACAATAACAGTGATATCAATATTGATGTTATCATTACCACGGTGTCAAAAACACTCCTATATGCAAATCTGCATGTGAAACAGACGTGTATACAGTGGCGTTACGAAAGCGCCAATTTTGAAGTCATAAAGAACTTGTTCTTAAGCTCAAATGCGGACTGGAAATTAATATTACTCACAATTAATAATTCCCCTACTCGCCTCAATAATCAAAAATCAAATAAACTATTTATTGTCTATAGCCACGCTTTCAAGGCTAGTGCTTCATGAATGGGAATATTATGACATCGTTTACACAGCCATTGAGCCATGTCCACTTCTCATACTTACGATGCTCTCCACAGGTCAACAATCTTCTAGAACTGGCGGTACTTGACCTGTCTTCGTTGTATTGACTGTGACACTAGTTGAATAATATTGGAATTTCATAAGCAATTTCACAGTAAATAACACTCTCTTTTGTATGTCACTCACACAGATTCCTTCAAACACTCTTACACAACATACACAACATTCACATCGCGTAGGGACGCACGCAAATGCTCAAATACACCGCTTGCTACGCTCGTAAGCTCACATACAAACAGCTCCGGCATCCATGACGTATACTACTTTCACAAGTACCCGCTAGATGCCCTGGCTGCAGGGTCACGTACGCGCGAGATTCGTACAAGAGTGAAGCTCCAAGTGAATTCAGAGGAAATTACATTGAAATGTGGTTTTGTTACAAATAAACTGCATAATGTGACCTGGCAAGTTGACAAGGCGCCAGCACCATACACACACCAGCTCATAGAGCACACCATTACGTAATCAGAAAACTGTTATTAGATTTAGCTTATTCATGAGCTACCAGGAAATTCAAAGATGCTGGGTTAAAACTTTTGTTACTAGACAGCAGAGGGTTATGTACTATTGTCGTAAAATGCTAAATGTGTACTGTATCATGAAAATATATTAATACATTATATTACTTTTACTGATTATAATATCACCGTTGTTTTTCTTATAAGTAGTACTTTTGTAATACTATGTTATAACTTCATTTTGCAAAAGTGATCCATTCTTACTTCTGTAAAAATTTTGCTTTGGTACACTAATTTCTGCAAACCCATGAAATTTTTCCTTAGAATATCAATACAACAGGTGATTAATTTTTTTGTCAGCAGCTACAGATGGCGTGTGATTTCTCAATGATGTCCTGGGAAAGCAATCATTACTAGCGTTTATTCACCAATTGTCAAAGCTGTTTTAATTCCTCTTATATACACTGAGTTAATTTGTTCCCTTGAAAAGTGTAATGTGAATAACCAGTCACATCAAATATCATACCCCCTCCATCCCTTTCTTGGTCCCAAAATATGTGTAATTTCTGTTTGCAGTGCTAGCACTGTACCATTATGAATAGTGGGTCCACACAATCCTGTGTTTATGAACCAACCAAATTTTCTTTATGCTGCATGAGAGATGAATGGCCTTAACAAATATGAATAGAATACAAAGATGCTAAAAAAAAAAAGAGATTAGCAAATTCACACTTACTAAAACCAAAACATTCAAATGGCACCAATGCTATCAAGCATGAACTAGTATTAACAAAAAAGAGAGAGCCTTGCTACAGCATTTACTAGGGAAAAGAGTACATTTTGTTTGGTACAATATGACAATATGTGGAACGCATGTCATAATTAATGTAAGTCAGTAAACTTTCCCAGATAAATAGTAAAAGGTATATGTAACTAACTTGTGAATTGCAATTTATAAAACAGAAGATACAATAGTAAGTGCATTTTATCCAAACACCATTCATATAAACATGACTGTGGTTTCTAAGAAGCTCCTGTGCCATTTCTACACAATCTGAGGCCCAAAATCTCCTATCTAATGGATACAGGGAGCCTATTCCCCCTGGGTAAAGCAAGTGGGGCCTGAAATAGACCACTCCCCTCCATCTAATGCCTAGCTTAAGAATGGTGGAGCTATATCTAAAATGGACTCCATGCCTTCCTGGTGTAGACCTTGATTAGCCTTTAAACGCCGGACTTCTGAAATAGTGGTAAGCTTGAGCTGGCCGGAGTTTATTTAAATGCCCGTTGTTACTCTGCATTTAAATGTCCGTTTCTGTTAGTGCGCCTAAACAATTTTAAGCATTGTGTTAAAAATGCTGTATCTAATTCAATTTTTATGATAAATGGATGGAATTAATTTTGTTTGTATCAGCAATGAACATTCTGTCGCATATTATAACGGAAGATTTGAAATTTTTTTATACAAATTATACTCCATTTCAATTTTTTGTCTTTTAATATTGATGAGTACTGAAAAAATGATTTCCCAGTTCTTCACAGAGTTGTTCTGCATTACAAATTCATTTCTGTTTGTAACACTTGACAAATTTTAGCAGTCCCTGATGTCATAAAACAGATGGAAGCAATAAAATCATTTGGTCTTCTGCTAGCACTGCTTACACTCTTCGGATTTTCGAATCTTTTGACTAAAGGTCAGAATAATGAAAGAATGGCTATTCAAGAGAAAGCTAGAGGGGCCCCTTCTTCAGTTCTAAGACCTTCTGTTATAGCTGCAAAAGCTTATTGCCCTTTCTATGGGCCTGAACAGACAGCTGCATCACGGCTCAGATTCAGAGTGCGGTCTGTTTTCTGTGCGTGCTTAGTGAAATCGAATACTGTAGTTTTATTTCAACCTAGATATACATCAAGCAGATAACAACAAAAAAGGTATGTACATCTAATTTTACTATACATTTTTAACACATAAATCTGCAGAATCTGCAATAAAAGTACTGGCTCGTGGATGAGTTTGGACATAACTCATATGTATACTCTTTTTTGTTGTTGTTCACCTAGATATCATTTTAATTTTTCTATTAGGGCTTTACTCAAGACTGTCTCGTAATTACTACATTTAAAAATAAATATTTAGGACTGTTCATTCGTTTCTACTAGCGGCGTATGCGCGCGCTTCCCCTAGCTGAGTTTAAATTCCCGACTGGCCAAAACGGTGTACTTTGGCCATGACGACCTTACTCACCACTGGCACAAACTGGGCACTTCGGCACTTAAAGGTTAGGTACAGTGTACCATATTTTATGAGTATACCAGCTGCAAGGACCCAGGAATTGCCTGGGTTATGTTAGCAGTCTCAATTTTAACTGAACATAGCACACTGAAATTGTAAACTTACATGAACACTTTGTCGGTGTCTCATATAATAACTACAAACATGTCAGATTCCTGAACAAATGCAACTGGAAGTCTGCAAAGTGTTCATGCACAGTGAAGTTACAGCTCCATTCCCCATACACCTTCATGGCATGATGCTGGCTTAATTAAACACAGGAACAATTTTACCTTTCCTTTCTCTTTCTGAAAGCTCAGTGAGAATAATGACTAAACTACAGACTTAATGACCAGAGAACTAGGTTTGATTCTTGGCAGGAGCAGAAATTTTCCCTTTTCACAGCATATAAACTGCCTCTCAGGTGTAATGAGCCTCACACCTAACAGATACCTGGTAAAGCAGCTGACAACTCACTTCCATCTAGTGCCAGTGTTAACAATGTGTGGAGCTATACTTCATTACCCCATACACTTTCACAGCTCAGTGCTTAATCAAGCACAGAGAGAACTTCATCTATAATTGGCAACACCAGAAGGGCCCTTCTCAAAGGCCCAAAGATATACAGATTTCTCTTCTAGACACACCTGGTGATGAAAGAAGACCTTGCTGGCAATCCTGTCACCTTAATTTATTTCTCACAAGGGACTATCAATATTTCCACTGCATACTGGATTGCTTCCAGAGTTGAGATAGCAGTCTGTATAGTGATAGCACTATGGGACTGAATGACCGAGGAGTTGGAGTTCAAGTACCAGTAAGGGCACAAACTTTCTGTTCTCAACAGCATCGAGACTGGCTCTGGAGCCCACCAGCCTCCTACCAATGATTACCAGGGCTCTTTCCCTTGAAGTAAAGTTGCTGAGGTGTGAAGCTGACCACTCACCTCCATCTAGTGAGCCGTATGTCCCTTGACCATGCGGGTCGGGAACCCAGTTCCCCTACCCAGTTAACCCATGGACTCGTGTTCACTGTGGGCAAGGGACAGGCTCATAAGACGACTTGCTTGCACGTGGTGCACTATGCCTCCCCAAGGTCGAGCAGGGGATCTCGGGAGAGGAAAACCACAGTCGGCACAATGGGCCAAGCTGGACGGATCTGCTAGCCTGAACTAGCAGGGAAACCACACAACCCAAGTATACACAAATACTGCAGGCGTTTCTAACATATAAATAAATGTGTATATTGATAACAAGGGATACAGGTGACTCTGCCTGAGGGGCAGTAGCTGGTCAAAACACACTCACAATTAATACAGAATTACTCTGTGGCTAAGCGCACAGACACAAATATGAGCACGCCTCATGGCATCCATTTGACTTTACAGGTGACCCTGCCTGATGGGCAGTAGCTGGTCAAAACTCTCTCTCTCAATTAATACAGAATTACTCTGTGCTAAGCGCACAGACACAAATATAAGCACGCCTCATGGCAACCATTTGACTTTACTGGGAATACAAGTATATATTCATACTCACGCGCCTGAAAGGCGACCGGCTATTCAAGCCAACAAACAAAACTATTCAATGTACCAAGCTTAACCTCGCGACTCGATACAACCTTCATCAGGTCGCGAGGGCACTCTTCCCCCTTCAGAATGCGCCCGGGGCCGAAACGTAATTTCACAACTCAATCAACCTAAACAGCAAATTTAGAGCTGGCGATATTACCTGTCTGAAGGTATCGGGGAAAAGAGATCGAAGCATTCGTTCGGCGTACGCAAGAAACCTCGCATTGCTTCCAGGAGGGGGGGAGACAAGGTCAGCTGACCTGACGTCAGCTAAGACTTTAAGTGGAAAAAGAGGAACGGCTCGCATCCTGGCGTTTCGGGGGGGGGACTCCAAGGAACTTCACAGAGAAGAACCGTTGCACGGTTCACTAGGGCAGAGATCGAGAAAACGTGTATCTATACATCCACTCCCCATATGTCTTTATACTGAAGTGCTTATTTAGTCAAGCACTGAGACAACTTTACCTTTCTTTTTTTACTGGATTTCTTCAGGCTTGGTTTTTAGGTGTGACTCCCAGGGCTGTCACAGGCAACTCTGTGGATTTGTATTAAATTCTGTACACATTCATAATTATTAGTTAAACTAGACGGAAAAGAAAATTATAATAATCCAAATTTCACGCATCCCTAATAGCAAATTTATTGGTCCTGAAAAGTTTATATTCCCCTTATGTACATTAAACATTTCATTAGTATGAACAACTTTATATTTTCACAATTTGTTCACATTATGCTCAATACATCCACACATCTTCTTACATAATTTGCAATAATGTATTCCATGAAAACTAATATGTATAAAACAAAAGGTATATCAAACGAACAAATAAGTTATCAGAGGTTCATTCTGAGATAATTTAACAAAAAACAGGGTCACCTTTTACAGTATTATTCACTCTACATGGGATATGTAGCACATTTGTTATATTTAAATGAAGGTATACTTTCTTGTGCATCATACTGAAGCACACTCAGCGCTTGTGTCACTTGAAATAATTAACTATATGATACACAGTTTGAAAACTAGCTAATGAAGCTGTGCAGAATCTTAAAAGGAAATATGTTTGTGGGAACCACCTACAGTGAATTGAGAGCTAGCCAATGCTAAGCAACAGCTGGGTAAACAGCCGTTGCTAGGAAAAGCCTACAACAATATGGACAGTGACCTGTTTACTATAGGTCCGACCAGTTGGATAAACGGCCATTGCTGGTTCCTAGCTTGTGATTGGCTAGCACTCGATTCACTGTGGTGGCTCCCACATGTTCAATGGCAATAATTCAGAACCTATAATTTCACTGAGACACCATCTTACAGTAAACTCCCAAGTTATACAGTATCCAAGCATCTGGAATTCTCTATTAACTGGGAAAAATTTTAAAGAAAGTTTACTACTTTCAGAGTTCTTAAAAAAAAAACAAACAAATTTGTGATTCATATAGTCATCCACTACATGGTAGTTCTCCCAACTACCACCAGAAGCACTATAAATATTCCTTCCTCAAGCAGATGCCATTAAAGTAGGGACTAGGTGAATCTGTGATTACATTACAGTATACATAACCAAAATCCTTCAGTTAGGAACATTCTTATGCAAGATCTAAGGCAACAATATGTTGTTCTGTCTTGGATTCCCATATGGGTATTCTCATGCAACTGGCAGATTCATGTAACCAACAGACCACATTCCCCATACATGCCGGAAAATGGAGCGTTTACTGTACTCTAGCAATGCACAGAATGAGTCCATTTCATTGTACCACTTACAGAACTTGTCTTTAAGTTTCTTAGATATAGAGAGAAGCTGTTCATACACTATTAATGTATTAAAGCATATTTTTCTGCAAAGCAGTGGTTCCAAAACTATGCTCCAGTGAACACCAATGTTTTGCCACTGAAATCCAGTAACAGTCTACTTTACTCAATTCCTCAGAAAAACATGAACTTGGACACACTTTTCTAAATTCTACATGTTTCTAACAGTACCTTATTTACATTTTGTTGATTTCTTTCATCTTTGCTAGATGTGACTTAATGTTTACACTATTACTTTCTTTTGTCCTGTATTGTATCCATGCTGACTTTGTAACTGGCCACTGGCTGTTCAGCTCTGCATGTAAATAAAGAACTGAGTTATTATTAATAATATTATGAAAACTGCCTTAGCTTTTGTGTTTCTGTATCTTTTCTTTACTCGTGCTCTCTTCATAACTGGCTTTAGAGCTGTTAAGTTAGCCATGTAAATAAATAAGAACTGAATTAGTCTGGGCTGTTGTGCAAGCATATAAATAAATAACTGAATAACTATTATTGTAGATTTCGTTATTATTAATACACTTAGTGGAGCTAGCAACTGGCTACGGGCTGCAAGACTGAGGGTTTGGAGTTTGAGTCCCGGTAGGGTCAAGAATTTTCTCTGCTCCACGATGTCCAGACTAGCTCTGGGGTCCACCCAACCTCCTATCCAGTAGGCACTAGTGACTCTTTCCCCAGGCATAAAGCGTCCTGGGCATGAAGCTGACCACTCACCTCCAGCTAGTGGTCAAGGAAATGTGGATCTTTACAGCCACTCCCACATATGCCTTCATGGCTTCATGCTTAATCAGTTAAGCACAGGGACAACTGTATTACTGTTAGTGTTATTTGTTGGGATGTGTTCACCATGACATAAGAAGACATATTTTGTAATAAAAATATTGCTCCTAGTTTGAATGACAGCATTAAAAAATAAATTTTAAGGTCATCCACAAAGAGCAAAACAACGTCCAGATGGTCCATGAACTGAAAAGTGTTTGGGAACCACTACAGTAAGGTGACATAGCTGGAGCAGTTGTGTGAAAATACTACAAAAAAAGTACAGCAATGTCACATGAGCCAAAAGATTAGATTAGAAAAAAGAATGCAAGCTGTAAGGAGGAGGGAAGAACAGCAATACAGCTCTAAGTCTAAGCTTTGTCATCTGTCAAGTGTTGTCACATGTCATCTCAACAGGAACTACATGAGCAGCAGATCAACTGCTCACACTGTAATGCACCGCTCCTGCATAAGTCAGGACACACTTCATGGTAATCACGCATATTCCCCAACCAGCTGCGAAGTTGTATCAATGTTGAAGATGGGTATTTTGAATATTTAGTTATAAAAGAGTATATATTTGAGATTGTAAAGATATTTATAAGTCACATAAAGTTATGTTATTAAATAATATGATTAATTAATGTTTCCCTCATTTAAAGAATATCCTGACTTTTTCTCCATTACATTATATTCCCATGTAATTAATGTGTAATAAACAAATACTCTCACAATATGGCAAAATGAATAACATACATTCTTCTTTAAAAAAAAGGTACATATAACCACCCGAATCAGTCTAATGAAACCGATAGAATGCAATTCCATCTATAGTGAATTACTGACCTGCTGGTTTAGTGATCTTAACTGGGACTCAACCATGTACATTAATTCTACTAAAGAAATATAAATAGCAGAGATAACATCATTGCTGCAAATGTCTATTTTTAACTGCAGTGGGAATAACAATATTTCTGAAAGTTTCATGCTTTCGCTGCAGTTCAATACTAACTCAGATCCTGTTTCTACACGCATGTTGCACTACCAATACTTTGGACAGTCTGTCTCTGATTTCAAGAAGTGACTACCCAATGACCCATAGTACATTCAAGGTTTGAGATTGTCACACAAACTTTTCTTACTCCTAATCACACACTATAGTCATCATTTCATGCCCCAGCTGTTTTACCCCTGCCTCCACTAGCCATTGGGAGCCAGGTTAGGTTAGTCAGTATAGCAACCGGCTAAGAGCTGGATGACCAAGAAGTCAGATATCAAGTCCCAGCAGGAGCAAGACCAGTTCTGGGGCCCACACACCCTCCTATCCAGTGGGAGTAAAGCAGCTGGAGCATGAAGCTGACCACTCACCTCCAACCAGTGTTAAACGTGCATCTATACATCTGCTCCCTCGTACACTTCATGGCATAGTGGTTAATTAGTTAAGCACAGGGAAAACTTTACCTATTTTATTACTACCTACTGGATGGGAGGCTAGTTAGACCACAAAGCTGGTCTCCATGCTGTGGAGAAGAAAAAATATCTAGCTCATATCAGGAATCAAAGCCTAGTTCCACAGCGGTCCAGCCTGTAGCCTACCACTATACTAGCTATCCCAGTTCCCGTCTAATGTTATCCAAGATAATACTTGATCCATTCCCTTTACCTTCACTTCTATTTTTTCTCTCTCTCGCCTTTATTCCTCCTATTTTGTTCTTCTCCCTGCTTTCGTTTCTCTCTGGCCTGCAGCCTCTTAGCAGGTTTCCCACATTCTAGACTTTCCACTAACTTATCCAAAGATCAGCCCTGTATCTTCTGCCTCACTCTCCATTGCCCATTGCCTGATGAATTAATCAGCGGTTCTGGGAATCTGTATTACAAATTTCTGCAGTGATAACCAGGTAGTCATTCTGTATTCAATCTTCAATAAATCAGCAATCCAGTATTAAGATATTATGTCTATCATTGCCCAGTGATTCAATTATTTTAGTTATACAAAACATTTCATAAAATGGATTCACTTCCATCATCAAATGTAAGATAAAATGGATCATGCTCATTAGGTTCCTTAAAAAGGATTAGACATTATTACACCCACTGACTGATGGGCCACCCTGCTTGCCCTTACATATGGTGATGTAAACTGGTCCAGTTTCTGAAACATTGAACATATCAAACATATCCCAGAAAAATGACAATGTTCAACATAACATTTGCATAACAAATCAAACACTATAATAAACATTTAGATAACCAACAGCAATACAGCCTTCCAAGTCAGAAAGTATCCCAAAATATTCCTTTCTTTATTTGGTGGAGGAGGGACCTGGCTCCACTACTGAATGCACACATAACCATTAGCATGAAACATCTCCATTGTTATAGTGACCTTTCTGATCTCCAACATTCAGTCGCCTTTAGCCACTACTTGTACCGACACTGCCACTCCACTTTTCACATGAACCAAACAAGAGCAGCGTGCAGTGATTCATGAAACATCAGCAGCATACAGTGACAATGGCTGGCGACAGTGAAGCATGTATGGATGAACTAACATGTTGCAAAATGGCCAAATAAGTGGCACTGATTATGAACAATCAGGGGACTCATCCACATTCAGAGTGAACACTGTTACTATGCTGTGCTGGCCTTGCATATTCACATCACAAAAATGTAATCACTGCACATTGCTGTTCTTTGGTGTACATGGTAAGTGGACCAGCCATGTTGATGCCACTAGTTGTGAAAGGCAACAGAATGGTGAGTCACATCTATGGTGTTACATAAAAGAGGGACAAGTCACTAAAATCTTTTTAAGAAGAAGAAACTTTAGATGTTTATAGAGTAATGTACTTAACTCAGCATTTCATTGTCACTGAATATGAAGTATTCTGCTCAGAGGCATAACCTGCTTTTTACTTCATCCTTCTGATAAGGAGAAATTCAAGACATATCTTATTTTGACAAATCTCTGACTTAACTGGCTTTTCTGTAACACCACAGAAATAAATCACTACAGTAATTGGAAGGTTCTATACTAACTGATGCATGTGTATTCAGCAGTACAACCAATCATGAAACCAAAGACACACTCATTTTGCAGATACTTTTAGACTTTCTCTTGTACACAGTGACACTACCCAGAACCAAGGTCCACATTAACAATATTCCTGTAACTCTCAAGCAGCAAAATAATAGGATAGTTCCTACCCCCATTTTATTTTTTTCTTTAATTTGCTTAGTGGGGGGTGGAGTCCAACTGGGTTCACTTGGCACAGCGGCCACTGATTGGCCTATTGTAGTCTGCCCCGGGTGATTATGATGATGGAAAAATTTGGTGGAATGACGATTGGCAGGGGAAACTGAAGTACTCAAAGAAAACCTGCTCCAGCACCACTTTGTCCAACACAAATCTCACTTGACCAGACCCAGAATCGAACGTGGGCTGCCGCAATGGGAATCCAGTGTCTAACCACTTGAGCTATGGCGTGGCTTTTCCTACACCCATTGTTTAGGTTCTTGTACGCAATAAACTGGAGATATTAGATCAGTTAAATCATACCTATACTTTCACATATTCATTTTGCATCTTTCTGCACTGAAGCCTGTCAAAATGTCTCCCAAGTCAGAGAAGAACAGCTATAAATCACCAGCAAAAGATCAATTTAACTGTACCTTAAAATTAATGTTGAGTCATTAAGGACATTATTTTGGATTTGAGGTGTTCACAGCAGTGACTATATATAATATTATTTTCTGAGAATTAATGCCACATAGCATGACAAAAGTCTACCGATGTTTTGGAGGCGTGTACTGCCTCCATCTTCGGGGTTGATGATGAAACCAAGTAAGATTCCAGTAAGGAACAAGCATTAAGCTTTGCAGTATGGTCTCCTGAAGTATCAGCAGTGTTGTATCAGACTAGACAGCATTATATCACAGAAGGTGATACTCTTCAAAACATTTGTCTGTTGAACTTTGTTAATGTAGACTATAAGTACCACACTGAATAAAAATACTTACTAGACTAACATGACACTTCAGTGACAACCATTAATGAGCTTTGGCTAAACATCTATTAAACTGGATGTGAAAAATAAGAAACACAATTGGCTCTCACTTCTCTCTACACTGGCATAATAGTTTTTAGTGGGTGAAAATAAAATGTGAGATCTGACAATCTCACAGCAGTGACTGTGGGAAGTAGTCTCTTAAGAGAGAGTCTGGTAGTCTGATAGAAGATCACTGATATTTTAGAGGAATGTGCTACCTCCACCTTCAGGACCAAGTTGTAAGCTAAGCAAGGAGCAAGCAACCTCACTTGGCTTATTCTTTGAACATGAAGGCAGAGGCACCATGTCCCTCTTCTACCAGACTACGTGGCGTCACATTCCACAAGGGTGTACTCTCTAAATATTAAAATAAATGAGTCATACATTCCTTTAACAAAATTTTGTGATAATATTATTAAGAATTTGTTCATATGAAACACCTGGGTATGTTTAAAAACTAAACTTTCAAACTTGGAGTGTAAGAAGAGCACCATTCACTTCTAGCATTGTTTCAATTTTATATGGGACAATGGCTAAAACATATCTAATCCAAGAAAATGAATAACTCTCCAAGTAGAAAGGGTTCAGTAAATTGTTACCGAAAATTTATAGTGATTTATTTTGTGTGTGTGGGTTCCATGAATTCTCAATATTAATTCTATTATGGCTGAGAACTAGGTCCATGTTTACATAACATTTTTCATTCAAAATATGCCAGTTAAAAACACTCTGTATAGCTATATTAGTCTCCTTTCCTCTAAAAAGGAAAACTGTTGTGTAACACAATGTACAAGATTAGTTGTGAACTGGCTACCTGAAAGGTGAAAAAGAAATACAGGAGAAAGTATTAGAAAGAAATACAATTTCAGATATGGGACGTAAAATATTCATGCAGTGAAGAAACAGGTTCAGAGTCAAAATCAGGAAACACTGCACTAGACCAATGGGCAGATTATTTTCCACCAGCTGAAATCACTCTAACCATCTCTGCACAAAATTCAGTAAAAACTTGAATGCAGCATTATTTCACACGCTAGCCACAACCAACTAATCATGTGCTTCACAATATGGGTCTTGATGAACAATTGGGACAGTGCTTTCTATCAACTGGCAGGAATGCTGGCAAAACTGTCAAAAAGTCGAAAGCCACACATCTGCTAGTCCACTGTATGTTGAAAATGAGGTTAGAACTGAGTGTGAAAGTACTGGCAAACAAGTTTTTAGAAAATAAATGCAGTAACTGGGACAATGACCAGGAGATCTGACAGACCCACTCTTTTCTCCTTACTCAAGTGATTAAAAAATAATATGATAAACAGATACTCCATCATATAATATTAAAGATTATTGTAAATGGTAACACATCTGAATGACACACAATGTCCCAATATTCCAATAAATATGCATATCATGAAAAACCCCAAAGGCATGTCAACAACGTTTCACAAAAATGTATAAAAATAATGATAATCTTTTGGGAAAATGTATACAAATTATTAAAAGCAGACATTCTACTGTCCTTACCAGAACAATCAACACGTTACAGATGTAATATAAAATAAGAAACTTAACATTAAAAACAAATGTACCTCTAAGAAACACATGCACGTAATACAATACAGGTGATTCTCATTATATATATGGACAGCAACCTATGAATTGCATGAAACCAGGAACACAATGAAAAAAACTGAGCATGCTGGAAAAGTAGTAGGAAACAACATGGCTGAGTCAAAACAGTGATATCAGTCATGGAAACTATGCAACATACTGGGCACATGCACCAGCTTCTACTGCAGCATGGGCACGGCAACGATACTCCTCATGACACGTAAACAATGGACACACAAAGACGCAGTTAATGAAAGTCACCTGTATATTTTTGTGTGTGCTAACTGAACCCAATTTCAAAACACAAAATAATGCTGCAAACTATTAATTCTCTCAACATGAATGTTTTGGCACGCTCCTCTTATATGAATGATATTCAGAAAGTAAAGATACAAAGCCCAAAAAATATCTGTAAAGCATTCTTGGGGGGGGGGATTCACTTGTAGCACTTTTACAGCACACATTTATTTACTTTTCAACATAGTCACCATGGATCACAATGCACTTAGTGAGCCTGGGAACAAGATTATTTATTCCAGCGTCATAGAAATCTCCCTCCATGGAGAACAGTTCTTGACACTTCTGGACATTGCTGAAGTTCATCAACATTTAATGTCTGTCAGCACAAATGTTTTCATCAATTTTTTGGATGATTTCATCAGTGACAACAGATGGCCTTTCACTCCTTATTTCAGCAGGAACATCACTTCTTCCCACTTCCAATTCATGACGCCATTTTGCCATGTTTTGCCTGTTCATAACATCTTTGCCATAAACAGAAACAAGTTGCTGATGAATTTCAGCAACAGCTTCTCCTTTCACGTGAAAAAAAAACGAATTACTGCAGGAACCTCACATTTGGCAGGATTTTGAATTGACACGGCCATTTTAAACACACTGCAAGCACAATATTGCCATGACTGTGCCCTGATATACGGTTCCTATCTCATATGGCAGCACTGCCATCCAAAAAAATATGTTCCTTGCATTTTTACTGGACTCGTATCTTTACTTTCTGAGTATCCCTCATAGATAAAACATCCAAGATCCTATGCTTAATGAGATTCATCCACCTACAGGAATTTTATAATCACACTATACAAATTTATATCACTTCCACAAGTAACAAAAGGCATGGCATTATTTAGTCAATATGTATAGGGGACCATGATTTCTATATACTGCATATCTTAACATAAATAAAACTATGCCTGAACTTTTGTTCTAAGCAAAACTTTAATTTGCATCATATCATCATGGCTAATCATAAAACCTACAGACTCTGTAAATGGTAAAGGGTTTCAATACATTTCTTTATGAAATGTTTATCTATTTGAAATCCATCATTCTTAACATGAAATTTCAAGTAACAAGCTTCACAACATTTGTACAATATACCCATTTAAAATTTTTATATTTTAATACTAAGTACAGATTATATACACTGAATAAAGAAATGTTTACAAAATAATTCAGAAAATAATTTTAACCATACAGCTGCCAAGTGTCAAGAATTCAACCTTTAAAATTTTCTTATCTGACAGCATATGACATCTGTTGGAATTTTATGTTAATTACACAGTAAAACAAAAATTCTGAGAAAATCTTAGATGGCAGCTTGGCACTGTAGGAATTAAAGCTGGTGCTTCTAGGATCATAATTAAATATTCAGCTAAACAGCCAAATAAACATATTAATTCTTTAAAAAATGGGATGGGTGGAGTTAAACTGCAGACACTTTCTTCATTAATCTTTAAATCACATCATTACTTTGTTACCATGCTCCACAATTTGAGACAATATTAAAATATGCTGAATTTGATGTTCTCATGATGGTGGCTACAGACAACATTGCATTCTGGGTCATAACATGGTGTACTTTAGAGACAGCCTGTGTAGTCTGCTGCAAGTCCGAGTCAATGGTGGACTTCTTCCAGACTACCAATGTTATATCCCTGAAGACAGCACTCTTCAAGTTGGATCTGAGGTTCTTACAGCAGTGGTTATGAAGAGTACTACCTTCTGTTTGTCCTGCTTTCACACTGGTATCTTGCTTTGCTTATTCGACCCTGATAATGGAGGAGATAAGTTCCTCTGAAACGTCAGTCGACTTTCAATGACTACATGGTGCTATATCCCACAAGACATTGCTCTTCACATTCATGAACACATTAACAGAGTAGACAATAACAAATCTGAAAAAACAACTAGAATGTTGTAGTTACAGTTGTATGTTAGTTTACAAAAGTTATGGTAAACATGACCATAATTTTGGGCATTACCTCTAATCGTCATTGCAGGATAAGGTACAAAGAGTTCATACTCAGTTTGGTTTGCTAGAAAGAGCTAATCTCATTCACTGAACTTGATCTTAAGCATCATGATGAAGTTCCAGCCTCTGGGCATTATTCACTGCCCTGTCTTTATCTGACAACACCATCCTGTTTCTTTTCAAAAACAAGGATTTGGAGACTGGATTCTATCTCCATCTTGGGGTAAAACCTACTCAGTTGGGAGACTAGCTTTATCGATTGGGCCCAACTGTCTTTATCTAGAAACACCACCCTGTTAATTTTTCAAAACACAACATATCACAGACTGAACTGTGTCTCCATCTTCAGGAAA